ATTATTGAGCTGCTGTCTGCGAAGAACTCACGATAGTAAGATCGATCCACCCCCAAGCTTATCGCTAGAAGCTCCATGACCGAAAGAGAGAGCTTTGTCATCGCTTCGCTGTATCTCTGATACACCATTCTAGGATTTTCCACAAGCATATTAGTTCGTATTCATCAAATAAATGTGTAAAAAAGCATGCATTTTTAATGATTTAGAAAATTTTATAACTTAATAGGAATTAATTTGCTATTTGATTAGTTGTTATTTTTCACAGAATTTAGACTTTATCTCCATGTTATTACCCCATTCTCTTGTAACTATTCCCCAGGGTGGATGTGAAGTAGTCAAGGACAATGGAGGAGTGTGATTCAGCGCTATCGTAGCCGAAGGAAAGGGTCTCCTTCCATGGGAGCTGTGTGGTGAAGCGGTCGGTGTGGGCACCGGCGTAGCCCCACATGCTTTGAGGCTTTCTGCCTGCCTTCAGCTTGTGCTGCAGTGGGAGATTAAAGAACTCGTCAATGCAACTCAAGGCGTTGTGAATGAGAGACGAGTGGACGCCATGGTTGGTGATTTGGAAGAAGCCGTGCTCAGTACAAGCAGAACAAACGAGTTCGGCAGCTACCTTTGTGGATGCTTCGTCACCATGGAAGAATCCCTTGAGATCGATGACGGGTGCTTCAAGCTCATTCACCTTGCTCGAACTATCTCTATGTGGCCAGATGAACTGGCGAGGAATGGAAGATTGATTGCGTAGGTACGAAGAGTCGAAGATGAAACTGGTTGTAGGGTATGAGTCTTTTCCGTGAGCATTCATGAGTTCATGTGAAGGGAATAAGAGCAGAGAAGTTGGGCTCGAATCCATAGGATTATAAGTAACTCCGATTTTGAAAGGTGCAAGGACGCGACGGAAGGTTTAGGGAACTTTTGAGTAAGTTTTTGAGAGTGTGAAGCATTTAAAGCAAGATCGGAAGAGCTATAATATGTTGAATTGGGTCCCATGAATTAAGATTTATGGAAGAAATAAAAGTTGGCGGAGAGATTGAGCAACGTTGTGGATATAGCCAAATATTGCCCATTGGTGAGATCGAAGACGGGGTGGGATCTTCTTATCTTACGGACAAGGAGAGAGATGAGCGACCTTTGTTTCCTCTCTATTTCGTCATCTATTTCAAGTTGAAAATGAAAATTACATTTTTATGAACGCAGCTCATCTTAATTTAGGTTTGGTTTAGGACTTCTTCAACTGAAAAAAAAATAATTCACTTTAAAAAGCAGTAAAGGACATATCAGACAGTAATTATTATTATTATTATTATTGGAAAGTTAAGGGCAACAGTCGAATTTGTATTAACGAAGAAGAAAGAAACTAGTTACATGTGTAAACCGAAAAAATAGCAACAAAATTGTATAAAGAGCAAAAAACAGGGGCTCACCAGGAGGCGCAAAAATTACACATGTCAAAAGAGCATAAAAAGGAAGGAGAATATATAAAAGCATAGTAGAAGCGAGAGGCACATTGCTCAGGCTCAGGAAAAAAAGGAATACATCCTCACTAGCATGAATCCCCTAGTTGCCAGAA